CAGGTGGATTTTATTCATTTTGTATGTCCAGGATGACTTCCAGTGTGGGTGATGGATCTTGGGTGTGGGATTTCCAGCTCCAGAGTTGGAGGCTGAAAGCTGTGGAGATTACACGGAAGAATCCCACAGCATGATATGTGGGTTTCAAGCGTGTGTATGTCCGACACGGGTACCCACCACACCAGACCCCTCCCTGGAAGGCTGGAAGGCCACAGCCTTGTTCCCCTCTAATCCTGAACAGAGAGCCTATGTGGCTCAGGCTCCTCCCTCTCTGGCAGCGCAGGTAGCTATTCTTATAGGTAAGCATGAATAAACACCAGTGAGTAGAAAACCTGGGACTGGAAGAGTGGATCAGGGCAGAAGAGCACAGAAAAGAATCAAGAAAGTTGAGATCAAAAAGCAGGGCCTACAGAGGAAGAGGAAGGAGATGATGAGAATGGAGGAGGAGGGCAGACAGAAGGGGGTGTGTTCTTTCCCAGGAGGAGGAAGCTCTGTCGATTGTTGTCCCGGCATTTGCATTGGCAGTCACAGGGTGGCTTCCCTAGAAGCAAAGTCCCCAACCCTGAAACTGGGGAGCCAAGATTGCCCCTTGTGGGTTTCTCTTCCCTGATGTGCTCCACAGAAAGCCTGCTACTTTGAGGCACTGTAACCTCTCAGATCCTGGTTGTGACTGGAAAGCACAGTACGCTGGAAGCAAGCAGGAAACAGGCAGCCCTCAACCTGGCTACTTGTTAGCAACACTGAAAAGCCGTAGAGCCACAGTGCTAGAGTGGCCCATCCACGGTGGACCCCCGAGTAAGTCTGGAGGTGACACAAGGACCTGCACTTTTGAGAGATACTCAGACACCTCTGCCGACTGCTGCGTTGGGGGGGTGTGCACTGTTACTCTGCTTACTTGGCAAGCAGCCGCTAAAGATGTTGACCTCCTTTTCTCCCCTCTCCCCATTGCCTCCACAGATTATGGCACCATTAAGAAAGTCCGGGCACCCCTGAATCAGACCTCAAGCAGCTGCTTGTTGGAAGAGATTGAGCTCTTCCCAGAGAGGAGGGCGGAGCCCATCCGGAGCCTGCAGATCCTGCACAGCCAGAGCGTCCTGTTTGTGGGTCTGCGGGAGCACGTGGTCAAGATCCCCCTGAAGCGGTGTCAGTTCTTCCAAACGCGAAGGTAGGCTGGTGTGCAGCGTTGGTGACTTAGACACCAGAGGGTCAGCACAGAAGCAAAGCCTTTCCATCTCCCTGGGGTGCACTGGGCCCAGGACCGTGATACTCCTGTACCTCCTGCACCCCAATCAGATTGACTGATAAGCTGCCTGATGTCCAGAGAGGGTGTCATAGGCATTGTGATATCTGTGAGCAGGTATTGGGGTGAAAATAAGTGATTTACTGTACTGTGACATTCAGTGATGGTGCTAATGTTTATTATTAGTCTAATCTGTGTTTATATTTTATGTAATAGAAACAAACACACAAACACATCCACACACACACACACGCAGTCCAGAAAGATTATCAGCATGAGTGCACCCCTGGGTGCAGGCCTTTCTTCAGATGACACCAAGAGGAAGAACCAAAGTGGAAGCCGTGATCTCTTCCTGGAGAGTTGCACAGGGTGCTGCCCTGGGGACTTCCTTCCTTGGCTGCTGTCTCCCTCATGAGACCTGAATCTTTCAGGCTGCAGGAGGAAAGGATGTCTCCCACGGGCTCAGGGCACCCAAGTGCCATGCTCCCTCACCCACCAGCAGGGCTTTCTTCTCATTTTCCATGTATATTACTCTTGACCATGGAGAACTTTAGACTTTAATGCGGAAAATGAGGCCTAGGTACCTAAGAAGTGGGACAGGGCTGTACGTAGGAAAAACATGATTGTTATCTTAATGCTTGCAATTTCATGACAAAAGATGCCCTTGGGGAAATCATAGCTCCAGGGTTCTTGGGGACCATTGCTCTTGTGAAGTTCCATCCCCCAAAGCAGTACAAAACTGCAGATTTGGTGCAGAAATGGTCCTTGCTTACCATTGGAAAACGCTACTGAATACAGACTATTTTTCTACACAAGGCACATGGGGGAAGTAGCTTAGGGAACTAGAGGCTAAGATTCATGGTAGAGACCTGTCTTTGCTATTTCTTGATTCTATTTTCTTAAGTATTTTATTCTATTTTATTTTTTCTTTTGAGGTACCAGGGATTGAACTCAGGGCCTTGCGCTTGCCAGACAAGTGCTTATTCTACTGAGCTATCTCCCCGGCCCTTCTAAAGTATTTTAGATTTCCTATTCTCTCCTAACAATGCAAATTGGTGTAAAATGAAATGAGGAAAGATGTAATGTATAAAATCAAAAGCTTTCTGTGAAGGAGTATTCTTACATAGCAGGAAGGTTTTATCTATAGTTGTTATAGTATTACTTTCAAGACCATTTAGAAAATGAAATCTAACATACAGAGCCACCTCTGGCATCAGAGGATTGAAGAGTACTGTCAGGATTCTCTCTGGATTATAATGCTTTGGGGTCATGGATAAGATAGTTGTGTTTATGCACAACCATTTGTTCTGCATATAGCCAGTGGTTGTTGGAAATGTGTTCTGATTTAAGTTCCCTGTGGAATAAGCCAAGATCAAGGATGATGCTTCATAGCTGTTGGTGGTTCTGTCAGTGACAGGAGGCTTACTGCCCAGACACCAGCCTTGTCACACACGAACCTGGCTAGAAGGCCACCAGTCTCCAAGTGCGCTCAGTGACCTCCAGGTCTAATTATGAATTTGGGGAGTGGGGCTGACTCAGGATGAGGCTCAGAAGACACAGGTCTGAGCTGTCCCTAGGATGATTCTGTGCCCAGAACGGGGATGTGTGGCTTGCAAGGCATGGAGCCACTCACTCTTCCTTTTCAGATGGCTTTGCTCCTTCATCTGGGAAAGGACTTAGTTCCCATGGGAGGTCATAAAGGTGGCTGGATGTCACTGATCTCCCACCACTACATTTCAAGCCAGTCCTGAATCCACAGGGGTCCGAGCCACCAGCCACAGAGGCCAGGGAGACATTCATGGGTCTCCTGTTTCTTCCCAGGAGTGTGGGGCCATTTAACGGTCTCCATCTGACTCCTGTAGGAGCGGAGTTTGCCATTTCATTCTAGAGCAGGGTCGCCCTCCTGGCGACTGTAGACTTATTCAGGGCCAGAGATGGTGACTCCAGTGTGGACCCGCAGACTGCCTCCGTGTGCCTGCTGAGTGCTTGGGCTCCTGAGTGGGTCCTGATGTTCCCCTGGGAATGGAATCGCCCTGGGCCTCTTCCCAAATGTTCCTTCACTATGCGCCCCCTACAGGCAAACAAGAAAACTTCTCAGGTCGCACTCACGAGACAAGGAAAGCTGTTGCTCAGACACTTTATGTCTATGCCGGCAGGTAGCTTTGTTCCTTTTACTACTCAAGGAGGAAAATGGAAGCTTTTTGTAAAAAGTAAAAGTAATTCTAACTTTCCAAAAGTATTCTAACACAGTACACTGAATACCAATAAAAAAAAAGTTGAGTAACAATTGCATGCTAATGTCTTTGCAAAGTACTTTCCATAGTAGGATATTGGAAAATATTTTGGTATTGTAAAATACATTTTATTTTTATCTTTTCTGTATTTTAGGGAAGGGTCTACAGGGTGTTCAGGTTCTCACTACTAGATCGTAGTTATCCGCCTGTTGACAGCCTCCCAAGAGCTGGGATTACAAGTTTGCGCCACCACACCCAGTCTCAGTTGCCATCTCAGCATACCCTGGGGGTAGGGCCGGCATGGCAGGCCTGAAGATGGAACCCTCGGCCCCTGCATCTGCTTGCAGGTGCTTTAATTTGCTGAGCTATCTGGTCAGCCCTCACAAAATACATTTTATAAATAAATACTTGAAGTATTTAAAAAGAGAAATTAAGCTTGACTCAATGATCAGTGTCCTCAAATGTAAATATATTCACTGGAGGATCATCTGGTCTTTCAAAACCTTATTCACAGATTTCATTTTGTTGCATGTCTGTTTTTCAAAGGCAATGTCCAGTGGTGTCTGCTGAACATTCGTCAGTGGTCATGAGTCATGCACTTTGCAAATTTCTCTTATCTCGGTGGCCCAGCTCTAGGTACTATCAGCATTTTCCTTAGTGATCACAGCCGTGCTCACAGTGCAGGAGTATGTCACCACATTATCTGGATGACAAGCTGACAGCGCAGAGCCTTGGTGTCCTGCCCAAGGTCATGGGGCTCCTGCAGTGAGCGACCTTGGCCAGAGCTGGTCTGGCTGGTCCAAGGCTCATCCTGTTTGTCTGGCTTGCTCTCTGCCCTGGTGCAGTGAGGACAGTAACCAGGTTTCATGGAGGGCTTGAGCCCTTAGGGTCAGAAAAATCAGAACTCAGCTGTGCAAGGTTTTCCCCACCATGCTTTTGTGCTTGGGATCAGGCGGATCAAAGAAATGTGAAGCACGCTTGGGGCTGTGTTTTACCTAAGGCTCCTAAGGCATACATCTCCACTCCCACTCATTCTGGGCGGGATCCTGCTCCTTGGGGGGAAGGCGCTGACAAAAGCTCCTCCAGCCTCGTCCACAGTTGGTATGCAATGTGATTCAAAACATGCACTTCCTCTAGGAAGGTCATCTTAATAGAATAATATTTTAAAATGTGTATTTCAGTCAAGTTTGATGATGAAGTTGAATGGAAAACGCTTGTTTTAATGTTAGCCTTTTGGGCCACTTAATAAGTAGCATGAGAAAACGACATGAGGGAAAGCCAGCTCCCAGGAGTGGACACTTACTCTGGAGATGGAATGCAGAAGGAGCATCATGAACCACCAGCTTCCTTTCTCATGCAGGAACTGTCTGACCGCACGCAAGTTTCATGAAATGCATTAGTTCAGTAATTATTTATTTATTTGGTACATGGTCTCACTATGCAGCTCAGACTCATAGTGGTCCTCCTGTCTCAGCCTCACCAGTGCTGGGTTCTGGAGCTGGCAGAGTGTGCCTGGGGTTCCAGAGTGTGCCATGCGGTACCAGGGATTGAACCTGGGTCCTTGTGCTTGCCAGCCAGGTGCTTAGACCGCCAAGCTATCTCCCCCGCCCCAAGTTTAGCTCTTGAGTACCGTATGAAGAAGACGTGAAAGCTGACCCCTGAAGACCTCATTCATCAGTACCTGACTCATGGGGGAGGGGAACCTCTGCAGCAGCAGCAGCAGCATGTGGTCAGAGAGTGGGAAAAGGTCACTGCAGGGAGACACAGTGGAAAAGCCAGAACTGTTGGTGACTTAGTTTTCACTTGCCAAGACAGGCTGTCTGGGCTGCCTCTCCAGCTTCCCATTTCACGGAATTAGAAAACAAAGACCAGCCTCAGGACTTGGGTTTCCATGGTCATGTCTAGAAATCTGCCTGCTATTTCCCTTTGAGGAGACATGGCAACCTTCCTAGTACTGTGAGGCTCATAGCTCTGCACATGTTGGGAAAGGAATGGGAGGGCTTGAGACACAGACTGCACCGGGATGGTGCACTGACTCAGAGACCTTTGTCTGCAGGGGGAAGGAAATCCTTGCATCCTACCAGGTTGAAGTCCTCTGCTGCCAGGTCTCAGCTCTGTCCTGCAGCGTGACCCTGAATGGGGGAGGCTGTGGCTCAAGCGACGCCGAGAGTTGCGCAGCAGGGAAGCTATGGTCTGCCTTGTAGTCAGTTTGTTTCTTGCACAGACAGCCAAATAAAAGAGGAAAAGATATCAATGACCACATTTCTTGTCCCAGTGAGACATAAGCAATCAAGTGACCGTGCAGCAGAGGGAACAATGCACTCTGTGCTCAGGAGGGGACCCCACACAGCTGAGCAGTTGGAGAGCCTGCGGCCTCAGTGAGCTGCTTGGAGGCAGGAAACTTGTACCATCTGGGAACCCAGAGGTAACAGGAGCCTGACTTATGGCAGTCCCTCCAGGCATGCAGGCAGTTGAGTGGTTTGTGAGCCGTTGGCAGCCTTGGGTATCTGCCCATGTCCAGGATCTGGAGGGCCGTGCAGGAGTCTGCTAAGGCTTACTGTGGGAGCTGCACTTAGCCTTGTGGTCTTAAGTGACCAGCGGGGTGTGGCTCATGCCAGGCACTGACTCCTAAATTAGATCATTATCTTATGCCCTTTTGAATGCATGGATTCGCATTACCTGTGTGTCATT